GACATCGAAGATATTAATGACCACACACCAAAATTCACGCAAACTTCCTTTGAGCTGCAAATAAGTGAGTCCACAAACCCTGGGGCACGATTTATTTTAGGATCTGCCCATGATGCAGATATTGGTACCAACTCATTACGGAATTACCAGCTCAATCCTAATGATCATTTCTCACTCGTGAATAAAGAGAAATTAGATGGTAGTAAATACCCTGAGTTGGTACTAAAGATGCCTTTAGACCGGGAAGAGCAGAAATCCTACCAGTTGACCTTGACTGTGCTGGACGGCGGGAATCCATCCCTAAGTAGTACTGCCCAGATACAGGTCCTAGTGACTGATGCCAATGATAACCCTCCAGTGTTCAGCCAAGAACTATACAGGGTGGGCCTTCCGGAAAATGTGCTTCCTGGCACCACTGTGCTTCGAGTGATGGCCACCGATCAGGATGAAGGTGTCAATGCCCAGATCACCTTCTCTTTCACTGAAGCAGGCCAGATCACCCAGTTTGACCTGAATTCTAACACGGGGGAAATTACTATTCTAAATATGTTAGATTTTGAGGAAGTCAAAGAATATTCCATAGTTTTGGAAGCAAGGGATGGTGGAGGAATGATTGCCCAATGTACCGTCGAGATAGAGGTCCAGGACATAAATGACAATTTCCCAGAAGTGGTAATCCAGTCTCTACCGGATCTTATTATGGAGGACACCAAGCTGGGAACACACGTTGCTTTGATTAAAATCCGTGACAAGGATTCTGGATACAACGGAGAAGTTACTTGTAAATTAGAAGGTGATGTTCCGTTTAAAATACTCTCTTCTTCTATAAACACCTATAAATTAGTGACAGATGGAGTTCTAGACCGTGAGCAGACCCCTGAGTACAATATTACTGTCACAGCCACCGACAGGGGAAAACCGCCCCTTTCCTCAAGCTCCAGCGTCACCCTGCACGTTGGCGATGTCAATGACAACGCGCCGGTTTTCCCACAGCCTTCTTACGTGGTCCACGTGGTTGAGAACAATCCTCCTGGAGCCTCCATCGCCCAAGTCAGCGCCTCCGACCCCGACCTAGGGCCCAATGGCCGCGTGTCCTACTCCATCGTGGCCAGCGACCTGGAGCCGCGGGC